GAATCACAGCCTAACAGCAGAATAAGGAGATTTATCTGGGTTGGATAAGCAGCTGTGAGACCTCTTGTTCATTTGCAGCTGCAGATAAATCTTTATGATTCATAATGTTTGAGCTTGCTAACCAGCTGCTTTTAAAGTTTGCGATCCAGGCAGGCGCCTGTGATGGATATCAATCTGTGCATCGCTGCATTGCAGGTGTGTGCTTGAGAATGTATGAGCATTTCCCATCAGTCACCTTCTGACTCCCAGTTTCTGTCCAGGCTTCCTTGCAGATGTGTGCTTTGCTCTTATCACATAAACCTAAACACACTGGGTATAATGGAGCGGGGCAAACAGTGCAAAGGCAGGTTCTAGCCATAACATTCCAGCCGTACATCCAGGGCTGTGTGTTATCCGGGTGCAAACCCAGACCTAATTCAATCTCCCACCTTGTTATTTTATTGGCTCTTTTATCTCCCTAAATGTGCAGCGCCTTAGATTACTGCGGTCAGATGTTCAGCCAATCCAGGCTGCGTGGAAACGCTCACCACACCGTTCTACAGGAAAGTGCCACCTGCACGGGTCCCCCAATAATTGGTGTCTGCTCACACGTTATCAGAGGTTCCAGCAGCTCTTTTCTAATTAGCGGTGGGGTGAGCTAACTGCAGAGCTTCACTGCGGGAGGTGTGGCCCGCTGTGATTCTTCTGCACTTCTTATTTTGTTCTCTCAGCAGGTACCGCACAACTCCGGTCTGTGAATATGAACACATGCATGTTCATTTGTACCTTTTTCTAAGTGGGAAAGAAAAGTTTTTATCATTATGTACAAATTTAACAACAACAAAAATGTCCACCCTCTCAACATCATGGTGCTGCAACCACTTTGAAAAAATAAAAAATACTGCGGGTAACTCAGTATTATGGAAACACTCAGTGATATCTGGTTCGATATCTCAGACATCGTTTGTGTAGCCATCATCATAGATCTCACATCCTTCCAGCTTCATATTCAGTCTCGTTGGTAAACCTCATTTAAACAGTTTCATTTCTGGACTCAAACCCAATGATGGAAACGGAAGCTTAACTGCTCCACTCTAGCTTTATTTCGGGAGAACCAGTGTGTCCATGTTCCTAAAATATGATCCCATTGCCCCCCTCAGATGAAAGGAAACTGCTCGGGATGTCCTAAACCTTCCAATACATCAGGACCATTGGTAGCAAAATGGCTTTTGACGTTCCTGCTGAACTTGACCGTTTAGATTGCAATCTTAGGCTTTAAAACATCTGAATCTTTAGACTGTTTTCAATGTGTCTACTTGTGCGTTCTCGTGTGCTCGTGAAACGTCATCATATGGCCAATTTGCTTATTTAATGCGGAATTTAAAAAATCATTTCTGAAGTTGAGAGGACCGCGGCAACCAGTGGACCTCTGAGGCTAACAGCGGCCAGCGCTAACGTTAGCCCGTCTGCAGCAGCCCTCTCTCTGCATAGCCGGGTGTGAAGTACCACTGGCTCTGATGGCAAATTCTTTGTTTTATTAGACAAAATGTTAATTTGATTTCTGTTTATCTGACTGTGTTTATTATTATTCCTCTACTAAATGAAAAAAGTCAGAATTTATTATCTAGAGACTATTAATAACAGGAGGTGAAATGCAGCTCCAGACGAGCTGAGCGTGTGGTGATGTCATCAGTACGCTCCTGTTCCAATTGACCCGTATTTATGCTATGTCATCCTGTTCTTCCTGAGTCCAGACTTTCCTATCTTCTTCTTAAGAACATACTTGGCGAGGACACGAGTCTGTAGTCGCATTCTTGTGAATGGAGAAACATCCTTTGAGCTGGTGATCTCAAATGGAGGATCGTGCTATCGCCACAAACTCTGCGGTCTGGCTAAAAATGTGTTTTTATGGAACGCACAAGACTAAAGACATTTTTTAGCCTATTAATTAGTGTTTTAGCCTTTTTGGGATATTTTTACAAATGCTCTTTTTATAGGAGGAGTTTGTCAGAATAGAAAAATTGAGCCAAAGGCCCAGCTTAGTTTTTTTAATCAGTGAAGCAAAGATGACAATTTACTTCTCTCGCAGAGACAGAATGCAACAGGGACTTTAACTTGATGCGGTGGCTCTGTGGAAGTGCAACGTTAAGCCAGAATAAGGCGGATTTATACTCAGAAACCAGGTCGTCTGCATGTGTGTCGCAGTTAACGCAGATACTCTGCTCCACCTTAGCGGCGTGTTTTGTTTGTATGACCGCCATTGTGGAAAACGACTGGTGAAGATGGACCAGCTAGGTGCGCGAGAACGCTGGGACCCTTTTTCCCCATCGATCCCCGCTATTTTTCACCCTCATGTCTCTCCGTTGCCTCGGCCGTATGTAGACCCACAGCTAGTTCTTGATTGTTCCTCTGGCGTGAAATAACAGCGCAGCCCACGCTTCAATATTTGGCATAAATCAAAACTATCTGCGACAAACTCACTGCGACGCACTGCTGCAGGAGGATAACCAGCCTTTAAGGCTGGAGTTTCACTTCCTCAGCGCCACACAGAACATGGAGGATTTTATTCAGCTGTGGGGTTTTAACAACATTTTATGTATTGTGTCAGATGAAGGACAACTACAATTTAACAAGATCCCTTATTTGATGATTTTTGGTTGACACTTGTTTTACGTCAATAATTGTTTATATGTTTGAATTGTGTTAAGAAAGTGTTAAAAGTAAAATAAAAGTCTGTTTATCTCTGAAGTCTGAAGGTATACAGGGTACGTTTCCAGGCCCGCTGTCATTGGGGATTACTTCTCATCGTGTCCCAGATTGAACCGCGCAGCACTTTAATGCACCGACGCAGACGGAAAGATCTCCGTCTTTCACCGACACCTCATTTCTTTCCCTTTTATCTCTCTCCAGCTCATAAATACGCATTGATATTCACGCAGCACTCCTCTACTTTCTAAGAATGACGCAATCACACATGCTGCCAGTGTTGGCAGAAGGTTTAGGAGGTGAAACATGCGACGTGTTGTTAGTTTAGCGTCATTGATAGCGTGATAGCCTGACACCAGAGGATTCGTTACGCTTTTTTATTTGATGAACTGAAGAAACAGGAATGAAGTTTGTGGAAATGGCCTGTCCCTTTAAATCCAGGTTAAGTGTTAAAGGAGGAGAAGGGAGTCTGATAAGTTCATAAATGTGCATAAGAAGAAACTAATCAGGGAATTCTCTGTAAGAACCTTAGTTTTTCAGGTCTTCTTCCTGTTTTACTTAGAGTTATAATTCCTAATAGGCAGGAACTAAAAAACTAGAGTCAGATTTAATCCGAAACACAACTAGAACTGAGCGACATAGAGCACTTTAATTTAAGGAAGTACTTAAAGCGAACCGGTTCTGTTCTGGTTTACTTTGAGCTGAATATAAGTGAAGGACCTCCAGTCGTTTGGTTTATCCTTCCAGACTGAACATCAGCAGCATCTGCTTCATGCGGAGCTACATTTCCTGCTCTATAATTCAACACTTTGTTGGTGGTGTCTACGCCACTTCCTGCTTGTTTTCACTTCATAATTAAAAGCCACCTTAAGTGGGAGAAGCGATGCCTGGAAAACAGATTACGTGTTTGTATCCGGCTTGATTTAATAGATGCTTGAATTAATTTCAAGCGGAGGCGATGCAGAAGGAAGAGCATGTAGGAAATGTTTTAAAGAGCGAAGAAGAGCCGCTCTTCTCCTGCAGGACATGCAGGAAGGAGAGGGAAGCTCCAGAGGAACCAGTTCAATGTTGGCTGCTGGTGATGGATAAAAGCAAACCTGATCGGTAGTTGGTAAAGGAGCTTTGAAAGCTTTAATGTTTGCTTTTTAAGCTCCAGTTCATTTCCAGTACTGTCGGATAAATAGATCCAGTCAGGTTTAAAGCCTCCTGCGGTGACAGTGGGAAGGAACAACAGAGTCAAACAGTTGTTTTTATGTTTTTAATCAATCAGGCTTTAAAAAAGCTGCAATTAATTCATGATTTTGTCTTTAAGCAGAAGCTTAGAGCCCAAAAATCCAGAAAAAAATCATTTTTTTAATGAAAGACTTGGCTAATTTAGCCTGGATCAGAACAATGATCTCCAACTCACATCCAGACCCGACGGATCAAACAGACATTAAAATCTGGGCGGTCTTCCCAAACCCCCGGCCTTAAACCCTGATCTAAGAGTATCGATGCTTCTTAAAGCTGTTCTCCCATGTTTCAGATGTTGGTCGGGGGCGTTTTTAGAGGCACGCTTCGCTAATGGCGAGGAGGTTTTTCAGAAAAAGCCTCTGACATGGTGAGAGGATGGGAACGTGCTGGATGTCCGACAGGTTGAAATCCTCCACAGCTCAGAGGAATCACTGTTACAGCTGGATTTTAATGAGTCAGAGTGTGTGTGGGGGGGGGGGCTTCCAGCAGCTCTCAGCCTGGGAGGGAGACTTATCTTTGTTTTAATCAGCCTTGAACAGAGGGAAAAGGAGGGCAGGCTCTGCCTCTTTTCTCTTTCTTTGGATCTGTAATAAGCCTTCTTGCTCTAAATCCTTTAATCTGAGCAGGAATGAAGGCCATATCTCTGTCTTCTGGCTCCAGAGAACAATCCTCTCTCTCACACACACACATCTTTACTCCAGCTCTTTTCAAACAGCCTCTGAAACAGAGCCTGCCTTGTTAATGGGAGCTCTTTCTGTCTATCAGTGTATATTTGTGTGAATAAAGGTCAGCAGGGACAGCAGAACGCAAAGTTAAGAAAATCTCCAAATCGTTTCAATTCAGCTTTGGATTAAAAAGAAAAAGAAATGTTCAAATATTTCAACCATACAAAAATCCGGCTTTTATTTCAGCTCCTTTCTTCTCCCACATTCAGAAAATGTTTTTACTCTTCAGCGAGAAGCTGAAAATGTGCAGGACTGGCAGAAATCACTGATTCTTCTGTTTTAATGTATTTTGCTCTTATTTTTGATCCAGAACATCTGTTTGTTTGACTAAAGTTTTCCTGTTTTGTGTTTTCCCAGGCTCTGCTCCTCCACTAAGCCGCCCTTCAGACCGAAGCTGTGATTAGCCCGAATTACCAGGTGATTATTAATCCAACTGTTTAATGATTTTATTCCTTCAGATTATCTGAAGTAGTTTGAATTTCCATTCTGAGCTGCTGTTAGTAATGATCCGTTATCCAGATTGAACGTTTCTTCAGATAATTATGATCCCTGATGTTCAGGTTTGTTGGAGCTTTTCTGTCCCTTTAAGTAATGTGTTGTCTAAAACATCATACATACATACAGGGAAAGAAAGAAGGCACAGAGACAATTAATTTAGTTACTCGCGAGGAGAATAGGAAGGAGACTGCGGAGTTTACAATCTCCACCCCACTCTGCAGTCTTCAGCTTTCTCCTCGCTATTTAATGAAGAAAAGGGGACGTCCCTAATTACACCAGCTGAGGTTTAACTAAAGGGAAAGGGAAACAAAAGGATCTTATTTTAAACCTCAGCACATATGTTAAAACAAAGCATGTGGTTGTTTTTACAACTGAATTGTTCCAAGAACACATGGTTAGAAGAAACATGTGATAGAGGATGATCAGGCCTCCTTCACAACCCGTCCGTTGCATGACCTTTATCTGGAACGATCTTAATCTTAATAAACGATGAATCACACATTATACATCATAATAGTTCATTAGAACACAACCCATGAAAGAGTATAAATAAAATATTTCTAACATTTGTCTTATTTCGAATTATTCAATTAAACCTTTGTACTTTATTCTGATTTAATAAGGTAAGTGACGTATTGGTAGACGTCACAGCGTCAGTTTTTCCAAATGAAATAAAGATGGCAGCTCTATAGATCCGTAACAAATGGATTATTGAGAATATTTATAATCTAAAGCTTAAACTTGAGGCATCTTTTTTTTTTTTTACTAAAAACTCCCTTTAAAAGGGCTGTAACAGTTGTTATCCTCACACATGAGTAATCTTTATTAAATTCGCATCATAAGGGCACTAAGATGTGCATTAGTAAAGAAATGAAATCCTCCACCTGGAGCACAGTGTTTAGGTCTCTCTGAAGGATTTTATCCAGCACGATGAAACGAGGAGGGGGGGGTTCATTCACTTTCAGCTCAAATCAACTCCGACATCCTTTGATCCGTTAAACTCGGCAACAGAACACCTGTCAGCTATGTTCTCTCTCTCTCTTTGGATCCGAGTTTTATCTTTTCATGTTAAACGTATGTCAACGGGAATCTGGATGGAGCCGCGTCTGCAGAGGGCTTCAGTCACAACATCACAAGGACTGAGAAATGAGTTGCAGAGAGATGTCAGGGCGCTCTGACGGCTTTTCCCACGTGGGCCCCAATTCAGCGCCGCAGCAAACGGGCCGCCATGACGGCCGCAAAAAACATCCCTTACTGCTGCTTTGAAGGGAAGCGCTGACAGATGTGATGATTCTAACAAACTCTGCTCAGGTATTAAAGATAATTAAAGCAGCAAAAGCTTGTGCTGGTGAGCCGAGGATTAGAAGTTAAAACACGGTGTCACTCGGCGTGTTATTACTGGGTTAATGGGAGGTGTTCCATAATAAATGTGGGCGTTAATCACTCAGTCCAGCACCGAGGACACGGCCACAAAGTTACATTTACATAGAATAATCTGTACGCAAATTTGCCGACATGAGTTGTGATCCGGTTATCCTCCCTCTCTTTCCGTCTGGCTCCAGCTCTGCACTAACTCTGCTCTGTATTGATGTAAAGTCATATTTATTTAAGGGGATTGATTCGCGTCCTTCCAGGCAGTGGATCTCGCCGCGCTCCTGAGTGCTTTGAGAATAAATTTGCACAGAAGGAGACTTGCTTTAATTTGCCGATCCATCACTGCAGTTATTTGCATTAATTTCTTCACAAAGCTGAGTGAGAGGTCCAGCAAAGATTCTTTATTTAGGATCCGACTCCCAGTCTATTACCTGCCTCCATATTAGGGTCATTCTTTTATTTAAATTTAGCTTCATCTTCTCATTCATTCTAGCTAGCAACCTGTTCCTGCTGAGAACATTCATCCCCTCTGCATCATGCTGCCATCAGCGTGCTTCACCATGGTGAAAAGACATTACATTAAAGGTGTAGAAGACAATCTTTTACCAAAATTAGTGGTCCTCCTGGTGATGTGTTTACGTAAGGCCGTCCTACGTGCTCGTCCCGTTAGCGATCTTTTTCTGCGCTCTTTCAGGCGTATATCTGTGGTGAGCTGCAGTTTCAGACGGTCTTTGAAGCTCACCTTTCTCACCGCGGTTCTTTAAAAATGGCTGAAGGTCGTAAGAGTAAAAGTGTCCAAGAAGTGTATGAGAAGAAAAGAAAGGCCTCAGAAGAGGCAGATATATCCCAGAATGCTTTGCGTGCAAAGTTTTAGGTATGGATGATCCATTGATTATTCCTTGCTGACTAGACTTCACTTTTAAGAAAACTGTAAACATAAATTTTTTTTGGTGTTTTTTTTTTTTTTAATTAACTAATTTCAAATATTAGTTTAATAATCATAAACATTTAGCAATTTTGATGTATAGTTTGATCAATTATAACATTTTTAAAGCACATTTTCTCAGTTTTGACTCTGGCTCTGCAAAATTGTTTTCTTTGTCACACTAATAAACCTTTTATGAAATGAAGCGAGAACTTCAGTAAATAGGTAATTTATATTGGAAATTTACGTTAGTATAACTTGTGGATTAAAAAGATTTTTTGAAGCTAATCCAGAGAGAAAAAGTTATGAATTATGATATTTATTTATTAGGTTTAACTTCAACCCTTTATAGGGTTTAGCTTTTTATCACTAG